AGGCCCACACCGGGGGGTGGTTTGGGCAGGGGGTTGATGCCCTGCTTCTTTAGTTCCTCAACTTCCTTCTCGTCCTCAGCGCCTGCTTCCGCATCGTCAGCCAACATCTGCGGGTGAAGGATAAAAGGGGGTGCAGTCAGGACAGGTGTCAGGTGCAGGGACCCCTCCAGGGTTGAGAGCTAGATTTACTGAGGAACACGGAATCCCAGGGACCCTGAGGAAGCCTTACAGCGTAAGGCCAATGACCACGAAGTCTCTAGCACATAAACCGCCCCCTCACCGCTGCTGGTCCCGTGACCAGTGGGCAGGGGAGCCACTCCTGTCCCGCAGCAAAATACAATACAACACGTGCAATTCCACCCGTTTAAAGTGTACATTTCAGTGGCATTAAGTACCTTCATGAAGTTGTCCATTCATCAGCTGTCTAGTCCTAGAACTTTCCATCACCCAAAAAGAAGCCCCTTACCCACAGCAATCACTCCCCACTCCCCTCCTCCCCAGTCCGTGGCAGCCACTAATCTGCTCTCTGTCTCTAGAGATTTCCTGATTCTGGACATTTTATAGAAATGAAATCCTATAATTCGGGGTCTTCTGGGACTGGCTTCTTCAACTCAGCATGAATTTTTAGTCAGTGTGCAGCGTGAGTCATGTATATGGCTGGCTGATGGGCCACCATCCTATTTGGATTTTAAAAGCCTCTCACTGCACTTGCCATCAAATCCCCACGGGGCCTGGCGGCAAGACTGGGTGCTGGGGAGGCAGCTTCATTTCCTTCCCTGGTGCCCCCGACTCAACCCTAGCGCCCGGCCCCGTGGCAGTCTGCTGACAGCCAAGCTGCCCTGCGGGCCGCCCTGGACCAGGCCCCTCCCCGGGCATTTGCGTTTCCCTCTATTCCCATGTGTCCCCGTGTCCCCATGGATGGTCTTATTAAAGGTCAACAGTGACTATCCGGGTCCCTGCATTCACTCTGGAACATCCTTAGCTCCCTTCCAAGCTCTGCCCAAGCTCGGCAAGATCACGTTTCACTGCATCCCTGTGTATTCCTGGCTCGGCACAGGCTGTCAGCTCCACGAAGGCAGGACTGTTCCACGCCCTGAGGGACCCAGGGCCCACAGAGGCCTGGCGGGCAGACAATGTCAGAGTCTGGATTTGAGCAGCCTGTCCCCCCAGTGAGGGTCCTGTGCAGCAGGACAGCAGGCCTGACCGCTCTCCTTGGAAGGCCTTGCAGTGCTGGCCTTCGGCTGGTGTCTGGGAACCTGACGGGTAAGAGGGCTTCCTGTGCCTGACCTCCCTGTGCTCCCTGCCAGACACCCCCTTCCCTCTGCGAGTCTGGAATCTGGCACATGCCAGGCAGAGGCTGCATACATTACCAGCCCCCAATAAAGATCCTGTGCACCGAGCCCTAATGTGCCTCCACCCAGGGATAGCGGGGATGCAGGACCCCTTGGCAGCTGCCAGGCAGTTCTTGGCTTTTCTCTCCCCTTACGATCAACAACGGTATCTGGGCCCTTGGCTTCAAGGGGGATGGAAAACTGATCAGTGGAAAACATCTGTCCCTTCAAGTCCTGCTACTCAAGGTGTGGCCTGTGTGTGGACCAGCAGCACAGGGGACCCACCGAATCAGAGCCACACGTTAACACGCCCCCTGAAGCGTGGGACACACTGCCCACGACCAGCCATGCTGGGGAGCGCCCAGGACCGTGGGGGCCGGGGCCTGTCCGCTTCACTGCCCCCGGTTCTGCTCACTTCCCTTCCTCCCAACGAGTGGCCCCTTTCAGTTCCTCCACCGTGAGTGCAACCGCTGCTCGTGCTGTGTGCCCTGCCTGCCACTCACCGAGGGCTGACATAGTGTCAACTCCCCTGGCCTCCTGAGTGTCAGCCGCGGGAGGGCCTCTGGGCTCCCGGCACATTGTATCCAATGCCCGATCCTGCCCCTCATCACTGTCTCCCCAGTGCCCAGGGCAGTGCCTGCAGCAACTAGGCACTGCCACACGTTTGGATGATCAAGGAAAACACATCATGGGAGCAGTGGGGGAGGCAGGGTGCAGGTGTAATAGAGTCAAGGCTTTGCCTGGACAGCTTTGCAGTTTGGTGTTGCTCTCTGATGGGTCTTAAAGTGATAAAGTGATAAAGTGATAAAGTGATAAAGGTGTTAGGGCAAAAAATATTTAACAGTTGAATCTGGCAGAGGGAATTCTTTGTGTTATTCTTGCCAACTGTTCCCACATAAAAGTCATTGCCAACCCCAAAGGCAGGCATGCTTCCAAATGATAGTGGACAGCGAAATCAGTGTCTGGACAGACAGAAGTGTCACTGAGAAATGGGAAATAAAGCAGGGCTAGAGCAGACGTTT